GTTTTGCTGTTTTCTATAGTGTCACAAAGAAAAACAAATCTAATTAAACTGCATAACATTCGTGGGTGAATGCAATATGTTTACACCATACAATTCCAGCATGGCCAAGTTTGACACCAAAAAAATCTAAAACTATTCATGTCACTGCAGGGGACCTGCAAGAAGGTATCTTTTTTTTTTTAATCAAAGCCCATGTAAGTTGGTTGGCATACACGAGTAGCTTACAAATCCTCCAAATTGTGCTTTCCTCACTGAAAAATTGAGCAAAAAGAGTTGTTTTAGAAACCTGAGTTCCTGGATAAATCTTAGCACGATTACAGCAAAAAACCATAAACATATCCCCTTGACTCATTGTGGTTAATATGCAAAAGCTCTATAAAAAGTATTCTTTGTATTAAAGAAAGTTAATAAATCTGCCTAGCTTCCTGATCTTGTTGATTCCCATCTTACGAATGCTACTAATTTCTTAACTAAACTGGGGGAGATAACCTTTTTGTTAATAAAGACTTTAGTTTTGATGTACAATTCTATTCATATGTTACTTAAAATGAAAGAACTGAAGTTCTTTTGGCTGTTATTCATGACTGTTATTTAATAACTTTATATCATGGAAGCTAGACTACCCACCACTATAAAGAGCTATGTTGGGTTGGTTTTAAACAAACACATTATAGATGTACCTATGAGAAAAAACATAGTTGTTCAGTTTTATATGGTTTTATGGATAAAGCATAATGTAAAGCCAAGCATGTGTGGTTACAAGCTGATGGCAAACAATGAGAGATATGTTACCATTTTATTGATGATATCTTTAGAGAATATAATTTATATCAAATTTGTGGGTCAATGTCATTCTTTCCTAAATCTCTTCAAGCATAAGCAGATGTTAATTGAGCAATAGATGATGTCTAATTCTCAGGATATCTTAAATTTATTTCTTAAAATAGATTCATTCAAAAGATATCACAGTAGAGGTTTACAGTCAATAGGATGAATCAACAATCAGTACTCAGTTGTGTGAACACGCAAAACTTACCACAAACAAATATATTATGTATATAATATTGCTGTAAAGGAAACTAGATTTACTTTTTAAATAGTTTCTAGAGCACTCACATGTTATATGAAATCATTCAGTTGAAAAATAAATGAGAAAATTCTAGAACACTCTTTTGACCAAGATTAGGCCTTGTAGCTTCTAGGATTTCTTTCGACTGTTGTGCTTTTAGATATCAAACAGATGCAGAAAATACAGCAGCTTGCTATTTCAAGTATCTATGGAACATAATACAAATTATTCAGTGTGAATGAGTATGAATAATAGTGTTAGAAAGAATTCCCATAAATAAAGAAACTAGGACAAAAATTGGAAAAAATCAGTTATAGGTAATGTAAGAAAATGTATGTTTTAAATGTTACCAGAATGAGAAACCACATGAAGAACTGCAAAAAACGTCCTAATGAAATTAAGACATATTTCATTATGAAAAATAACAGACTCAAACATTAACAGGCCAAATAATAACAATAGGCTTACCAACATGAGTTTGTCCTGTGCATCTGATATTATGTGTCAAGGCAACATATCACCTTTCCATTGCTGAGTAATTTTGCCCTGTCACACCCTCACTGTTCAAGCTCCAATATGGGAAAGTTTGTCAGCTTCATGACAAGAGAGCAGTAAAATCATGCAGTATAAGCCACAGGCACACCACTGAACACAACAAATTGGTCATTGTCTGCTAGTACACATGCTTTACTCTCAAACTAGTCATCTCCTCTATTAAAATATGGAATTCACGACAGTTAATTGTGATGCAAAGTTGAAAGCATAAAAGTAGGCACTCAGTGGCTTCAGTATGATGAATGGAACAGCCTACTTAATGAACTAGTTGTAAACTTTATAATTAGTACACCAATGCCATTTGTCTACAGGACAAACTGTTCAACCACAGATAGCCACACACATAAATAAATGGTGAAGAAAATACTGTGATCATGGTAATTAGTACATCTACACCATTTATCTACAAGACAAGCTTTACAACCACAGACAGACACAAGGATGAATAAATGGTGGAGAAAACACTGTGATCATGGTAATTAGTACATCTATACCATTTATCTACAAGACAAGCTTTACAACCACAGATAGACACAATGATGAATATATGACTGAAAAATTATTGTGATCATGGTAATTAGTACATCTACACCATTTATCTACAAGACTAGCTTTACAACCACAGATAGACACAAGAACGAATATATGACTGACAAAATTAAATTTACTCTTCAGGCTCTAGCAGGAAGCTATGCTTAACCTGGACAATAGAATCAAGGTCCAAATCCTGGACAACAACATCTTCAGGGTGAAAGTTGAGAAAATGGTTGAATTTCAGGAAACTCTCATTAAATGGATCATCAGCTTCAAACCAAATAACAAAAAAAAAAAAAAAAAGAAGTCTAGCTTTGTACATTGTCAATAACCTTGAAAATAACTTGACAGCTAAGTAACCTATTTCATTAGTCATTAACACTGAAGAGTTGTAAATCCATGACAGCTTCAAAAGTTTTGAAAAGCTTGTACATCATCAAATTCATATGGTCACAAAAAATCTAGTTGTTGTATACATCAGAAAGTCTCTCTCCCAAAAGACTTGTTGAGAAGAGAGTAGTACTGTATGAATTGGCCTGGTAGTAAAGGAAGAAAGGCATGTGGGAAGAAACTTTTCTTTGGAAATTACTGGAAGGGAAGAATGATGATTTAGAGAGTTTTCTAACGACATTGCCGTATATACACATAAGAAGAAGAAGCCTTAGGAGATGGGTTAGAATGGAAATAGTCCTGACTAGACAAAAAAGAACTATGGGATGAAGCAAGAACGATGAAAATTCCCCTATGTTCTTAAAAACAGCCTGTTTGTTGATATACATTTTTTTTAATCTGTTTATGTTTGGTATAAATAAAACATCACAAGTTACTGCCCTAAATTAACATTATTTAAAAAAAAAACTGAAAAGTGAAAGGTGATTATTTTGTAAAATAAGTTTGTGAATATCATAAACATTAAGACAAAAGATGACATGTTGCTTTGTAAAGTACTAACTTTTCTATAATTATTCAAATCCATATCAAGTGTTTAATTATGGAGTAAAGTAATGAAAATTTAATTATTTTGAACAAATATCCAACTACCAATAATAATTTCTGTTGAGAATTACACTTTAACAATTTAAAACAAGAAAATTTTCTTGGAGACAGAAATATTAAGAAGTATAAATTACTGTCATGATTGATATTTCCAGTAATATTACCATTCATTTTTATTACTAGTAACATTACATTACTATGCTTAAATGCACGTTTTTATTAGTGAGAAGTGTATCACTTATGCTACAGCATTACATGGAAAATATCAAACGATATTTACATTTGACAGGTTACCTATATTCTGAACACTACAAACATATAGGAGAAACATCAAAACCCCCATGCTTATGTACAAATGGGCAAACTGCATACATCAGATTTGGCAAAACTGGAAAAATGCTATTGCACAGCATATGTCCAACAAAGTTCTTAATGGAACAAGTGCAAATAAAAAAAATTGTAACCTTAATAAGTACTGCTACTAAATTTCTGGACAGGAAATGCATGAAAGTGCTTCTAATTGAATAATTAAAACTTGAAATTAATGACAACAAAGACTTCTTTTTCTAATATGTTGACATCTTCAAAACTTTTTTTTTAAATTCTGGACCCACTTCCAATACTTATTTTCTGAATCTGTTTGGTCTACCATAATTCTATTATTGCTATTACTATTTTATTATATTGATTATTATGATCATTAAGAATGCCTTTTGAAATAAATGCTTTTAACTATGATTCTATTTGGTATGACCTTCTGGACTAAACACTGCTAAATATTATTTTACTTTGTGTTATCTTTGGAAATAAATACTTTTAGCTATGATTTTAATTTATACTATCTTTTGGAATAAATATTGCTAGTACGGTTATATTTTATATGCATTTTAACAATAAAAACTCCATTAGTATACATTTTCAGTAAAAATGTGTATGTAATAAAAACAACTGTTGATCACAAGAATGAACATTTTTTACAGTTAAATATCTCGTTCCTTTTAAAACCTGTTCTGTATCATTAAATGTAGGGATAACATTAACGTAAGTCCCCAGTGAAGATCTCATGGTGACATATCAATTTCTGGAGTTTTAGGTCCTTTTTTGATGTTATTTATCATGATTTTACACTTCAATAAAAACAAAAAAGAGATATGAACCACACGTGAGAAAAAGAAAGATTAAGAAAAGCTTTCTATATTTAACTGATATCTCCATCAAACTACCATATAAATCAGTAAAATCATGAATATTCCCAATGAAACTATTCAAATAGTTGATTTATTAAGACCCAATGGGATTGAAAGCCCTTATGAATGGATAAGAACTAAAACTGAATTTAAGCTCCTGCCACAACACTGTTCAAAATAAAAAACTGAAGGAGTGAAAGCTCTTATGAGAGGATGGCACACCTGTATTCCTATCAAGAAGACTCATGATCAAATCCCAGCTCAAACACCACATACAGTCCTTCTAAGGATATGTAAATGGTGGTCATGTAAAATAGTACACAGCATCGTTATTCTTTGTTTAATTAACTTTATCAGGATTAAAAACAAATTTTGGCATTATCTATAAACTTGTTTTTCTTATATTAAAATATTAGGGAATATGACCAATGATTAACTGCTACTTTCAGATCTGCAATATGCAAAGCAACTTTAGTTTATACTGATGAAAGAATATAATTTTTAATTGTATTATATAACTGTTTAAAAATTCAATTTAAAGGTTCAGTTGACATCACTGGAAACAGATAAAATCAGATCATGTTGCTTTCTTGTATTAATGAAATCACAGATCTTTACATTATCAATAGAATGCTCCTGAAAATACAATGGATCCCTACCTTCACGAGTGATCCCATTACAGGATGGTAGAATGCATCCATCTGGTCCTAAATGAGCACCACCTGAACTTACTGAAGAAACTACAGAGTTCACTATTCCAGATACCTCTGACACACTGAGTAGTGCTGATACAGCAAATTGAACACTTGCAGAGTCTAGTGTGAAACGAGAAGTGGGTTGAGATGAAAAGGAATGATCAACACATTGTGAGATTTCTGTACTGAGTTCTTCCTGTTTTAACCTTTCAAGTTGTTTCCGTTGCATTTCAAATAGTTCTTCTTGGTGATTTTGAAAACTTTCAAAGTCTGTTTCAGAAGGCAGTTTTTTTATTGAGCTATAAACCTGAGTTGATGAATCAGCATCTAATAACACAGTATCCTCTTTAAGATTCAAAAGTGGTGGAGTTTGAGGTCGAAAAAATGGCCTGAAAAAAAAAGAAGAAACAAAATTAGTTACAACATTCATCTTAAAGAATAATTTTTTTAACACAAGCAAATAAAAAAAGGCCTAATATTGTTCATATCTTGCAATCAATTTAACTATGAAAAATTCTAACAATTTTCATAGGTCAACAAAATCTGTGTATACAGTTATAGATACATAATATTGGATGAAAAAAAAAGTATCACAATAACAAGGTTAAAGTGTTTGTACAAGAACCTATGACATATTAAGAAAAAAATGAATTAATCCTCTCAGAGTTGCATACTATGAATTAATAAAGGTGATGAGCAGCATGAGACTTGTCAGTAAAAGTAAATTTAAACAGAAATTGTACTTCTGAATCTCATAATTTAGGGAACATACTTAACCATAAAAATAACTTTAAAAATATTTGTATTTATGGCTAAGCTATTAAGACCATCTGTCACTTTCTTAATTTTGAAATACTGAAATCTAGAAATTTTTATTTTATTTGGACCTCTTTATAGTCATGATTAACCAAAATATAAGTATGTTGTTGATCTGGCAACTTAAACCACATATAAAAACAATATTGTTTTTTTATAAAATAACACGTTTTCCATAATCATGGGTTGTTACTGTTTAAATGTTGGAAATACCAAATACATGTGCCATATATTAAATGAAGAACAGCTTAATTTTCAAATTAATGAAAATCACATGCAAATTACTCATACCAGATTGCAGTCAGAATACACAATCTTTAGCATGTCGCTTCTATCCATGACAGGATATTTAAACATTAGTATATATATATATATCTCACAATTAACACAATTATCTGGTACCTGGTCATTTTTACAATACTAAACTGATGGAAGTACAGGCTATTCATTTCACAATAAAAAAAAAAAACTTTCATCATCATATATTTGATGTTTCATAATAAACTTTATAAAGGGACGAAAAGGAGCTTATTAGCCCATCAAGGATGTCCCTTCCAGCTCCCAACTATAACCACCCCTTACTACTCATGTATTCATACAATTGTTTCTTGAACACAGTTAAATTTCCTGCCTTCAATACTCTTGAAGGCAGCTCATTCCAAAAGCCAACCACCCTGTTTGAAAAGTAAACTGCAGACGACTCCCAAGCTTCCAAAATTTGAATTTATGACCCTTTGTCCTATTGTTTTCCCTGCTCAACATAAAAAAGTTTGAGGGATCTATACTGTCAATACCCTTAATAATTTTAAACACCTCAATCAAATCCACTTTGACCCTTCTCCTCTCCAGAGAAAACAAGTTTAGAGATTTTAGTCTCTCCTAATAGGACAATCCAACCATCCCAGGTATCTCTTCTCTGAGCCTTCTCCAACAATTCAATATCCTTCTTGAGAAATGGAGCCCAAAATTGTACACGGTAGTCTAAATGAGGCCTTTCTAGTGATCTATACACAGCGTGGTCACAAGTAAATAGACATCACCTTTTCAGAAAGAATGAAAATTTTCAGTCATATTCACATGAATTGATATATTTATAATTTAATTAATATCTAGTAAAACTTCCTTTCGCTCCGTGGAGTTCGTTGATCCTTTGGGGCATTGTGAGAATCATCTCGTCAATTTTAGATTGTGAGATTTTCACCCACTCTTGGTTCAAAACTCGGAGTAGATCACTTTTCGAAGTTGGTTTTTTGGTTGTTTCTTGACTTGCCAGTCGAGTATGGCCCAGAGGTGTTCGATGGGGTTCATGTCAGGAGATTGGCTCAGCCAGGGCAACTTCTGGATACCATTTTCTTCCTG